AGGCTTGCGGCAACCACATGTGACGACCCCGGGCTGGACTCCGTTTCGTCCACGGTGAAAGCTGATCTGGCGATCGACAGCGCGAAGTTGATGTATTTCCTCAGCGACCAGCACGGATCAGCTCCAGGCATGACGAAGCGGATATCGTCCTCTTTTGGAAGACCAAACAAAGTAGTTTCGCTTTCACAACGAAGCACACAGCGTCTTCAGGACATGGCGGCGGCAGCAACAATACTACAGCGAGAATAAAAGTTATGCCTTCTTTCTTTGCGTGAACATTTGGGCGGCGTTATGCAAATCTTCCCACATAGTGAGGTAGACATGTGGGGGCGTGTTAGAACGAGCCGTTTTAGGTAGGCGTGGCTGACTCTTATCTTTTATAAAGAATATCTCTTTGGATTTGAGACTTTAGTCTTTGCAACTTTACAGATCTTCTTTATGCACCAAGAACTTGTAACACTCCAAAGAGAAAGGAAAAATTGAATTCGCATCTTATGACCCTTTTAATTGAAAAAAAAAAAAAAATTGGAAATAAAATATAAATATTACATGAGGCGGCGGGGTTGAGAACGGCGCGGCCGGCGGATCCGGCAACCACATGTGACGACCCCGGGCTGGACTCCGCTTCGTCCACGGTGAAAGCTGATCCGGCGATCCACAGTGTGAAGTTGTTGTATTTTCTCAGCGACCAGCACGGATCAGCTCCAGGCATGACGAAGCAGATATCGTCCTCTTTTGGAAGACCAAACAAAGTAGTTTCGCTTTCACAACGAAGCACACAGCGTCTTCAGGACATGGCGGCGGCAGCAACAATACTACAGCGAGAATAAAAGTTATGCCTTCTTTCTTTGCGTGAACATTTGGGCGGCGTTATGCAAATCTTCCCACATAGTGAGGTAGACATGTGGGGGCGTGTTAGAACGAGCCGTTTTAGGTAGGCGTGGTTGACTCTTAACTTTTATAAAGAATATCTCTTTGGATTTGAGACTTTAGTCTTTGCAACTTTACAGATCTTCTTTATGCACCAAGAACTTGTAACACTCCAAAGAGAAAGGAAAAATTGAATTCGCATCTTATGACCCTTTTAATTGAAAAAAAAAAAAAAATTGGAAATAAAATATAAATATTACATGAAAAACTTAAACTTAAGGGGGAAAAAACTCCAGAAATGTTGCCTTGGCAACTAATTGAAATAAAATAATTGTATGTTGTAAAATCACTAAAACTGAAACATAAATAACAAAACTAATACAAATTACAAAAGCATACAACAGCTGCTAATAAATGACAATTAATGCACATTTTTAGTAATTGATAATTATAAAGACATGCAAATATACATGAATATTCACTTTTTAATAGATAATCTGGATGAAGGTGTTTTACATAGATCAAAATCCTGATTGATACAGGCATATTCTTATTCAGATTTCTAGAAAACAGCATACTGGCTCAATGGAATTACGATTATCAGTGTACTCGTTAAATAAAAATAAAACTACTAAAACTGTGAAATGTTTAATTAAACCTGAAATCAAATAAAATATAAATGTTACATGAAAAACTTTAACTTAAGAAAATCATTTCAGAAATGTTGACTTGACAACTAACTGAAATAAAATAATTTTAAGTTGAAGTACTAAAATAAACTAACTAAATAAAAAATATATAAAATAAAGGCTAATACATATGACAAAAGCACATTAGAAATTTCCTGAAACTTAAAAATTATTATAACTTAATAATTGAAGTGAAAACTAAAAATATAAAAATAAAACCCCAAAATAATCGTGCATAAATAATACTAAAATAACATCTGGCAGATGTAAACAGTCATATCATGAATATATTCATTTGTGTAACATCTCGGAGTTTAACAATAATTGTGCATGTTGAACTCACTTGTAGAGCAAGGTCTGCTGTCAGACTCATCTGGACACGCGCACACAAAACTGTTACTCCGCGCAAGACACAAGTGTGTGCAGCCCCCATTATTCACACCGCAATGATTCGTTCCTAGAAAGACAGTAAGGAAATGTTACGGATACATTTCTTTATCACACATGTGCTCAATGTTCACGTATCAATAACAATCTTGAAAATATTTCCAAATAAAAAAAACATATTACACATGATAAAACTACACTTGTTTATATGCAACATTCTTAATCACACATAAAACATACAACAGACCAGTGTTTTGTAAATTAGTGCATATTTAATCATCTAATGCACCAATTGCATATTTAAGAATCATCTGATACAAAATACAAGATTTAATTCACTGTGATTAATCAACTGGAGAAGTATAGTGATATCTATTAGTTACAATTTGACCCTTTATTCGCCTGCAGTGTCTTGCTTTAATAATAATGACAAATCAAATGGTATATCACAAAATCCCTTCAAAGTGTGAGTTGCGCATTAGAGAACAAATAAAGTACTTGTTGTGCTCTTCAGTTCAGTCCCAACAAGTCAATCTTACCAGTCTGTCTTTGTGGCGACACCACTATGATGTCCATGAGGCCCTCTACATTAGCCAGCACGGTTTCCTTACTACGACCTGTATGCTTATCTATTCGCTGAATAGACTTGGTCTGCCAGTCCGTCCAGTAAATCCAACGGTCTTGCTGTGAGATTCGGGAAAAAGGAGTTAAAGGGGAGTATACCGGTTTCAACTGGGGACAAAGAAAGGGGGTAAAAAAAAGGGGAGGAAAGGAAAAGGAGGGTCAGAAAATGGATAGATGCAAAAGAAGAGAACAACATGCTAAGGTTATAAATGCAGAGACATAAGTGAAAGAGAGGATGGGTCAGTGGAGCGGAGGGTGATGAAGGTGCAGGTGAGTGACAGATTAAGTGAGGGTGAGGATCAGATATGGAAAGGTACCTGCGTGAGGGCAAACGGGTGTGATACGGGGCTGATGAGAATTTGACGCAGTTTGCCATTCAAGTCAGAACTTTCTATGCGGTCCAGGTGTGCATCCACCCAAAAGATCCTATACATGAAATCACGTGAAGTTTCAGTTATGTGTTCTCCAAAATGTTCAAAGGTACTTGCCATGATTATGGTACAAAATAGAGCCTGAAATGCTTAAAAGAAGCCATTTTTTTGCAGCAAATGAGCAAAGTGAAAAATAAGAGATGCCTCAAAAAATGTTGAAATTCAGCCTCAGGAGGTCAAACTAATTATTTTATAAGCCGTTTTATTTGTCACTAATATTTGGGACAAGTCTAAATACCATTTAACCTCTTAACTGGCAACCTTTTAAAGAAGACAATCAGCAGATTATTGCTGAAGTGAAAGCATTAAAAAAAAAATCAGTGTAAAAAGTAGTTATAGAAGTTGGTTTACTGCAAAGTAAATGTACATTATTTAGTATGAAATAAAAAATATATATATTTTGGAACCAAAAATTGCTATAAAATCAAAACCATGTCTAAATAAATTGATATTACAAGAATTGAGGTACCTGTGAGATTTAATTGAGGCACTATGCCAATACAATCTATAGATTTCTGTCACAATATTACTTCTACCACCAAATATGGAATCTTGAGACTCAAACCTTTCCATTGATATGCGTTTTGTCAAGATTAGAAAAAGTTTTGATTATGAAATATTGTAGTACATTTTGTAATATGACACTGCCCACTAGGGGGAGGTGCCCAGTGAAAGGTTTTGAAGTACTGATTTCAAAACAGTTTTCACAGGATACATTTTGAGTTTTGAAGCTATCAAATGCTATCTAATTTATGAAGCTTACTAAAATATGTAATAGATAAAAAAGCCAATAAAGAGTGCCAAGTGTGACAGTTAACAGGTTAAATCTCTGATTTGTGATGTAATGTCTGTTTAATTTTACTGTAAATTCCCTAAACAAAAGTAAATAATATAAAAACAATATATTTAAATATTATAAATCTCTTTCCCCATTTATGCAGCCCTCCACCTCCCCAGCACCACATATCTATCTATCTATCTATCTATCTATCTATCTATCTATGGTAAATAAGCAATGTAAAAACAATAGTTAAATGTAATAAATCTCTTTCTCTTTCCCATCTATGCAGCCATCCTCCTCCCCAGCACCACCTGTCTGTCTGTCTGCCTATCTACAATGTTTAACTCAGTCGTCACTAGCTACTGTGGGACCAAATGTTGTTCTCCCCAAAATGGGACACTAACTGTGCCTTATTCATGGAAAGTACTTCAACAGTCAAAGCCAGTTGTTGTTAGTGGTAAAGTGGCATTGAAAAAGTATAGCTAGGTGTACAACTGAAGAAAGAAAGGAAAAAGACAACAACATTTCAAATGAAAATTATTTTCAAAATCTGCAATAGTGTGTATGTTAAATCTGAGGCCACATACACACTGCAATCTAGTAATAAGTGTTTAAATGTGGTAGCGAATCAAAAAATAAATTAATCATTCAGTGTGCATCCCCTCTGAAAACATCACCACTAACATGAATAACCATGACAGTCAACAAGAAGCATGAATGCCAATCTGTTTGACCAAAGTAATATTAGTAACCAAAGGTGCATTTCTGAGTTAACCGCCATTGACAGAGGCACTGTTTTGTTGATGCTTGTAAAGCTGTTGCTTTCAAACAACTCACTCTTGTTGCCATGCCTGCTTATTTTAATGAAAGGGTGTTTCAGTGCTTAAAATATGGCCAAACTTGGGTTGTGTTCTTTTGGTCTTATTTTCTAAATATGGTCACATATTTGGGCTTATTTTGGTGCTGCAAGTCTCTTAATTTGGGCTTGTTTTGTTGAGCCATCTGGACAGCTGAATGTATGTTGTGTCAACTGTAATAAGACTTTCCCGTTTTATAGATCTTGCCATCTTTGATTTTTATGTTAGTCACTGTCACTACTGTTACTACACTACAGTTATTTGTGGCTAGCATGAAAACAAGAAAGAGGACTGACATTGTTTGTACAGTGACTTGAATACGATATGTAAGCCACCTGTTATAACATACAGCTGTCAATCTTAAAACCTGAATGTTTGAACATATGTGGATTTAACATATGTGGAGTTAATTTGGTCATAGAATACAGCCGTCACTTCCATAAATGACCAAACTGTGTGTGTACAGAGTGAAATTATGCACTCGACAGTGACAGCCATCAGTCTGCAGTGTGTTTGTGGCCTATAGGTGCATCAGAATTTTGTTGATAAGGGTTGAAGGTCCATTTTGCACATATATATATTTTTAATATTTTGTCTAAAGGTTCAATATTCTGTACCAGTAAAAAAAAAAAAATGTATATATATTTTGGAGTATTATTTCATATGTCAGGCTTTAAAGGGTTCAAATCTGAACTTGCAGAATTTATACATGGTTACAGAGGAAAAACTGGGCATCATATACTAATTGACTGAGGATCACACACACACACACACACACACACACACACTTTCAAGTCTTCCTGAACACAACAAAATTGTTGCCAGGAGACGCATGACAAATGAAACCAATGTGTTCTAAAATGGGCAATCATCATACTCTACCTGAGCTCAGCTGCAAGAAGCCTCTTAAGTCGTGAAAAGCCTTCGCTATAATTGTGTTTCTTGCTGCTGGCTCCTAGACCTTATATGAAAATTAAAATTGCAGTCTGACTATTAACTTGAACGACATGCATTTACAGTCTCTCCATCTTCTTACCCAAAAAAGGATAAAACTGTCCAATCAAATGCTTTAAAGAACAATACTATTAATAAAGTTATTAATACCACCTGCCTCTGACGTCCTCACTCATTCAGTCCTACATTTGTGAAAAAGCATTGCACTTATTTATATTGAATGTGCACTTGTAATGTACTTCAAATTTTAAAAGTATACTCCTCAAAAACTGTACTTGCCGATAATACAATATTAATGAAATAAAAGGCCATTTAAGTGACTTAAAGAGAAACAATTTCATGACTATGTTTATTAACACTTAAGTGCACTTTTAAAAAGTGCAATTCATAATAATTTCAAATTAAAAGTTTTACTAGTACATGTTTAAATAATGTTGTCATGCTTAAAGAAGTACACTTATTTTGATGTGTTGACTAACATACTATAGCACACGTAAAGTACTTGATGATAATATTAACTGTAGTACAAGTAAAAACGCAAAAATGTGTAATAATTACAAATATATTTAAAAACACGACATTCAAGTTTTAGTAGAAATGACATTGAAGTATATTTTAGTTTACCATACATGCTTGTTAGTACATTTGGCATATTTCAAAAATAATAGAAGTTATTTTAAAGATGTACTTAAGTCCTACTTAAGTGGGTCAAAGCACACTCTAAAATTCAGCTAATTCAGCTATAATACATTTTAATTTAAATTATGACTGACATGTAATTAAGTGTCTGAAAATATTACATTCAGTTCACACTTAAGTATATTCTTTTAAAATATAATATTTGCACAATAAAATTATGCTTAAGTGTACTTTTTCACAAGGGTATACAGTGAATGACACGCAATGTAATATATACGAAATTGGAAGCAAAATATGGTAAGGTTTGTCAAATCTTATGAAAAAAAACTAAATCCTAAAAGATGGCCAAAGGGAACCAACATGAAATGACAGAGTGAAATGGTTTACCCCATCTCATGGAACAGGGCAATGGCACGAGGGCTGTCTAGGTTCTGCCACACAAGCACTTTTCTCATGGAGCCATTGAGATTAGCCACCTCAATGCGGTTTGTCCCCGTGTCCGTCCAGTAGATTTTTCTGCCCACTGAATCCACTGCCAGACCATCTGTGGTCACTAGACCTGAAAGAGTGGAGGAAACACTTTAAAAGACTGAAACGTTGAGTGACTGGATAAAAGGAGTACAATTACTGTATGTAGTTTTGAGGGTAACTGTAGACTCCTTACCAGTTGAAATAATGTCCTCATATTCTGTACCATTGACATTGGCTCTGCTGATTTTCTTTAATGTACTGTCTGACCAGTACACTTTACCTGCAGGAGCATGAAGATATTCATAATGATATTCCCTAAATGAACATTCTAAGCGAAAGTGTCTATATATTGAGAATTTCCTCACACCTTCTACTGCATCCACTCCGATGGCAATGGTGTTCTTCATAGACACACTGACCGGCAGAACCACATCAGCGAAGTACGGGATGTCCAAAGAAATCATTCTGATGTCCGTCCGCCGGGCAAAGATCAGGAAGCTGTTCATTGCTGTAAGATGAGAGAATAATGAAGAATTTCTAAAGGAACATTTCATTCAAAAATCAGCATCCTTCATCAATAGCATCAATGTTTTCATCCGAAGTTGCAAATGATGTTTCTGAAAAACATTTGAATATCGTCACTTCCTGGGAAAATGGTGTAAAGTATCAGTACAATAATAAAGCTGATGTAACCAAAGAAGCCTGTGATTTTTTTTCTACATAATAAATTACTTGCATCAGAGCACACAGACAAAATGCATAAACAAACGCTGTCATGTTAGCTTGCATTTGGATGCCTAATGTTTGGGAACACAATCGCATGAGAGAGGGTAGGATATTATACCAAATATTTTCAGTATTTCTGAATGACTAAAACAGCATTTGAGATGGTGTGCAATGAGACTGATCTGCTGGTTAGTCCCATGTATGTATGTGTATACACACACACACGCGTGTATATATATCACATGGTTTTTTTCTTTCCATTTACTTTTTTTTTTTTTTTAATATTTTCAGTATTTCTAAATGACTAAAACAGCATTTGAGATGGTGTGCAATGAGACTGATCTGCTGGTTAGTCCCATGTATGTATGTGTATACACACACACACACGCGTGTATATATATCACATGGTTTTGTGCATTGTTGTGCATTTTCTTTCCATTTACTTTTTTTTTTTTTTTTACCATTTCAATTCTATTTTAAGATTTAAGATTTCCATCCAGCATATTTTAAATGCAATATCCCAAAATTCACACAAAAATGCATGGACAGAAACATGGGTACCGACTTTCCCTTATGATGTTCCAAAACCATATTATATTCTTTATTCCATGAAACACAAAAGGTGTCTTTATGTAGAGAGCTGCTTTCTTCCACACAACAAAAACAGAAGGTGACGTATATTTACAAGCTCCAAAAAGGACAACGAACTTGTCCAGTCATTTTCACTTAGTGGACAGCTATCCATTCAAGAAAAGTCACGAGCGTAAAAGGCTTTCCTAGAAGCATTATAGACAGAGAGTTTGATATGCATTTCAGACATGACTTGGTCAAGTGTAAACACATCTGGTTGTTCAGGTTGCATATCCTACACTACCTCACCACACCCATTCATACGCTACCAAGAAAACAGCTGGTGTCTCATCATATTTTTGAACTAACCTGGACGACAGTAATGTTCCTTCCGTCCAAATCTCCTCCGCAAACCACAGCTCCAAACTAGACCTCCATAACAGAGCACTGCACTTCCCTTTCTCAGCACAAACTAACTCAGTGAATACACCTTAATAAAGTCCCCTTTAGTGCAATTTTACAGGCAGAGGCTATTTGCACTAAGTGAAATTAGTAGTTATAATTAAGCATGCTTTGACAAGTCCTAATTATGACTTAAAAAGTAGTAATAATTAAGCATGCTTTGGCAAGTCTTAATTATGACTTAAAAAGTCATAATCAACAGAAGTAAAAATTTTGACTTTAAATGTCATAATTATAACAGTCAAAATTATGTCATACTAAGTTTAAATTATGCAATAAAAAAGGCAAAAAAATAATTTCAATTAATTTCAATTTATATCAATTTTTATTTTTAATCTCATAATTATAACTTATTGTCATAACTTCGACATTGTCAATTTCGACTTTTAAAGTCACAATTTAAATTTTTTAATGTGACTCGTGTCATAATTTTGACTGTCATAATTGTGAGTTAATATGTTAGAATTCGACATCAGTCAAAATTATGACGTACTAAATTGAAACGACTTTAAAAGTCAAAATTTTCTCAAATCAGTCATGATTATGATAAAAAGTCTTAATTATGAGATAAGTCAAAATTCTGGAATATTAAGTCGAAACTGAGATAAAAAGGCCATATATCCATTCTGATTTTTTTTTTAAATTTCATAATTACAACTTAGTATCATGATTTCGACTTTTTATCTCATAATTATGCCTTAGTATGTCATAATTTTGACTTAAAGCATTTTTTTTTTCCGTCTTTGTCGATGTTGGGTTTGTTTACGTCAGAATGCACCTGTATCTTTTATGCATCATAACACACAGTGTTGTTAAATTTAACCTGTTGATGAAAACTAAGCATTCTAAAAATCGGAACAATTCGTAATAAGCCATCTAGAATTATTCACAGAAGTGCCCCTGATAACAATATCACGCATGTTTACTGCCGCAATATATTGTGTTACAGTACACCAGCATGTTTACTACTCTCCACGCCACTGTCCCAGTTAACCTCATGGTTTCTTTTGTAATTTTGGTGGGCGGAGCTACTGTAAATAGCCTTTGTCAATCAGATAGCTATTTGCACCATCAAAACGCATCAAGTCGCCAAGACTAAATATCCCCTTAGGGACAGAGTTTCCCACCCCTGAGCAAACAAGTGAGCAAAAGAGACAAATCCCCAACTGAATGCCAATGGAAAGCAAACTGAATGGTTTTCAGGAGATGACTCTCACCTTCAGACATACCCCATGACATCATCTCCACTGACACATCATTACGGCGACCCCTAAACCCCTGAGGCGACTCAAAATGAGCATCAAATTTCAAAGATCTGCCCTTGCAACAAAAAACACGGACTGAACGGTCACCTGGAATCCCAAAAGCAAAGAACACCTGTGGCCATTTAATTATATTTCAAGTCAATTGTGGAGTTATGGCTACTGAATGAGAAGTTATTGCTGGTTTCTTAGATATTCGAGACATGGACTTATCGGCATTACCGTGAGTGCAAGTCTTGCCGTCCGCCTGTAGGTTGATACCAGTGGGACATGCACAGCTTGAGGCTTTGGGAGCAGGAGCCAGGAGGCAAAGGTGACTGCAGCCGCCATTATTCACCGAACAGGGCGTCTGGACTTTAGACAGAAAGCAGAAAGAGTGGAGACGGATGAGAGAGAGAGGGGGCTAGAAATGGCCGTTCAATCAGATGTAACCGATAACAGGCCTCTGGGTGTCTCGGTGGATCATTATACACCAATGAGACTCCAGACTGAAGATCAGTTACCGCTGGCCGTAATCCGCCGTCTGAAACCCAAGACATCGGATATGACAGAGACCCCACATTCCTCTTTAACACATATCTGCTAGGCATGCGTGTGAATTTCAGTTGTCAACAGGAGAAAGAAGACGAACAGGGCTGCTAAATGCTAACTTGAAAATGAATTATGTGTTTAAATTATTTCATTCATATTTATGGGATACATTTAAGGCATTAACCTAATATGACAAGCTAAATATATAAAGCAAATACTTATTTACACTAAGAACCTTTAACATACATGGAAACTTTTAATTGCACAAAAGGTTCTTTATAGCGGAAAAAAGGATTAGATTATTAAAATGTTCAGAAACACTTTATTTTAAGGTGTCCGTGTTACATGTACTTACTATTACTACTATAATAACAATTATGCATAATTACATGCAAGTAACCCTAAGCCAAACCCTAATCCTAAGAAGTGCAACCAAGAAGTGAACTCATTATAAAGCACACAGGATGCACCGCTGTAAAGAGAGGCTACATTGACAAAGTATTGTATATTGTATTTGACAGCAAGATCAAACATAATAGAGACAGTCTACGGTGATATTTTACCTGTAGTTCTGTGATGGTGGAACATGTGAATGTCCATGAGGTTTTCAAGGTTTTCTGCCAGCGTACTTCGGTCCAAACCAGTGAGCTTGTCTGCACTTTGGATGCTCTTGGATTGCCAGTCAGTCCAGTATATTCGGTCTTCATGGAGCGTCAACCCAAACGGATGAGGCAACTGACTGCCAATCAACACCTTCAATGAAGAAGGAACGAATGAAAGTTTAACCTGAGAAAGAATGAACTGCAAATCAATTTAAATAAATAGACGCACACACTCATGTCTACCTGTCTGCCTGATCCATCGAAGTTGCCATACTCAATGGTCTTAATGCTAGCATCGGCCCAATACAGTCGCTCAGTGCTGTAGTCGATTGCCAACCCATTAGGCCAGGTCAGGTTTGTTGAGATGATAACCATACGGTTGGATGCGTCCATTCCAGCGCGCTCAATCTTCGGATTTGCACCCCAATCTGTCCAGTACATGAATCTATGGTGAGGCAAAACAAATATGGTTATATATCTTGCCTTTATTATATCCTGTATACCTCTACTAGTTCATGTAATACTGCCAAATTGTCTATACAGCATCCTCCATTTAGATGAACACCTTTGGTTAATAGACTAAAATGACTATAGCTTCATTCAAAATATTCACAAAAATCTAACCTTTAATTGACCTAAATTATATAAAATTTCTTCTTCCAAAAAAAAAAAAAAGTGTGCCAATATTATTGCAACCTCTTAAAATTCTTAAGGGCAAAAATCGAACTGTAGTATAATTTATATGTATATTCTAATTCAAATTGTAAATTTTAAAATAGATCACGGGTTCGATTCCTAGGGAAACAAGAACTGATCAAATGCAAACCTTAAATGCAATGCAAGTGGCTTAGGAAGAACTTGCCAAATGCATAAATGCAAATGTTTTAAATTTATCTGCCTGGTTAACACTCAAGTGGTAAAACCATGACTTGCTGATTCACTGGGATATAAAACTGAGGTCAAGAAGAGGCCAAATTCCTTTACTTATCAATCGCTATGGGAAAGACCCAATAAAGTAATGAGGCTGTTGAGTTGCACAAATCAGGAAATTGCTATAAGAAAACAGCTCCGTTGTTGATAATGGTCATTTCGACTATCATTAAGACTGGGTTAGTATAGACAGAAAGGGGTGTGTATATATATATATATATATATATATATATATATATGTGGACACACATATAAGTCATTTATAACCATTTGTATTTGTGGAGGACACTGTATAGTATTGCATATCGAACCGTACTTGACCTACCCTCCGATCGGGTCAACGACAATGTCCCGGGGACGGTCGAGGTTCTCCCAGATCAGAACTGTGCGCATGCTTCCATCTGTGTTTGAAACTTCAATCCGATCTGTGCCTAAAAGAGTTACGAAAAATCCACTTTTTCTAAATAACACTGGAAAAAATGAATATCTAATTGGCATGAAACTCCAGACTGCAGCATAAGCCTGTCACTGCTCTTCTAGCATGTCACTCAGAGTAGCTGCGCTAATAGCATCTGCATTCAATGAAAATGCAGTAATGAAATTAGAAGAAAAGGGAGTGAGACGAGGGCAAGTGAGAACCAAAAAATGAAAACAAAGTATTTAATGAAGAGAGGTATATGGCTTAGATCTGATGCTAGGATCAGAAAGATGAATTAATACCTGCGTCAGTCCAGTACAGTTTATGTGTAAGCCAATCGATAGCTAGACCTGCAGGGCTTTCCAAACTGGTGTCCACCACAACCTGCAAGCAACATGAATGTCATCGGTCAGATTACATGACAAAACATTATAACCACCTACTATACAAGGGAGGATTTGTTCTCTTTTGCTCGTTTGTTCTCCAGGGGTCAGTATTTTACACATTTATTTCTTTAATATACCAAAACATGCATAATTCATACATTAGCCGTCCAACAGCAGTGGTGTGAAAATACCTAATCAAAGGCAAGAACAACATATTAACTAAAAGGACACTTAAAATATATATAATTAGTACTTACACACATAATGCATTTGATTTTTCATTTGCTCCCTAATTATTCCATTCTGTATTTTATGTATGTATTTATTAAGATGACTAAACAAATAATCTCACAAGTCTATAATGCTCACCACAGTTGCACTTATTTAAATAAAATACAGTAAAAACAGTAATTTTGAGAAATATGATCAAAATTAAAAATAACTGTTTTCTATGGTAATATATTGCAAAATGTAATTTATTCCTGAGATCAAAGCTGAATTTTCAGCATCATTACTCTAGTTTTCAGTGTCACATGATCTTCAGAAATCATTCTAATATGCTGATCTGCTGCTCAAGAAACATTTCTGATTATTATCAATGTTGAAAACAGTCCTATTTTAATGGAAACTGTGATACACCACCATTCACAAGTTTGGGGTATGATAAAAAAAGAAAAAAAAAAGAAATTAATAATTTTATTCAGAAAGGATGCATGAAACTGATCAAAAGTGACAGTAAAAAACATTTATAATGTTGCAAAAATACATATGTTTCAAATAAATGCTATTCTTTTTAACTGTCTATTAATCAAAGAATCCTGAAAAATGCGTTTCAGTTTCTACAAAAAAATATTAAGCAGCGATAACTGTTCTCAACCTTGATTTGAATAATACATGTTTCTTGAGAAGCAATGATTTCTGAAGGATCGTGTGACACTGAAGACTGGAGTAATGATGTTGAAAATTCAGCTTTGATCACAGAAATAAATTACATTTCACCATATATTCAAATAGAATTGTAATAACATTTTTTCCTCTGTATTTTTGATCAAATAAATGCAGCCTTGGCAAGCGCTAGAGATTTCTTTCAAAAACATCACAAAATGTTAATGATTTCAAACTTTTGACCAGTAGAATATATATAAATTATTTTTTTAAACATTTTTTTTAACACGCCACTGCCCACCAGTGTTAATCTGATCTTAAAATCTGATCTTTGTCTCTCAGGCTAAATTCCTGCTAACCTCCTGTTTGCTTCCATCCCATTTCGCTCTGTTGATGGAATCAGTGGTGACGTCAGTCCAGTATATATAACGCTCACTGGAGTCCCAGTCCAGGGCCACTGCGTTTCGAATATCAGCCAGTGGAATGACGTCGTCCAGCTTGTCTTCATTGTCAAAGCTGATTCGACGGATGTCCGTCCTTCGGGCAAAAAGCAGGAACTTGTCAAGACCTGATCAAAGACCAAAGGTCTCCTGTCAGTTCTCCAGATTTAACAAGTTCATCAGTACAGACAAACATTCATGTCACAAAATGTGATTATTATCATGAAAGGAAAATTATAAATTTAGCACGGATGTGTTATATAACATTTATTAATTACATTTGTGGCTGTATTATTAACTTTCTAGATAACACTTTATTTTAAGGTGTCCTTGTTACACATGTTACATGTACTTACTATTATAATAACAATTATGCATAATTACATGCAAGTAACCCTAAGCCAAACCTCAATCCTAACCCTAACCACGATAAATCGAAATGGAATCGAGATGGCGATTCGACAGAAGCTGCGATTGTCATGCGTATCTTTCAGTGAAGCACGGTTCTGTGATCAGCAGTAAATCTCCATCCGAAGGCCAGAGGGCGCTCTCGCACTGAAACCCCAAATACGCCTCGCAGAAGAAACCCAGAAAATGCCTATAATAAACAGAAGATTCAACTGCTTTCATTGATTCAACGTGACTAATAAACACACGATTTTGACAATATATGGTTTATCTGAGTTATTATTATTATTATAATTTTCATTAAAATAAAGTATATTTATAATGCAATGCTTTTATCACTGCTTAAATACTATGAAACATGTTGCGTGCCTTATTCTGTGTAAGAAGCCACATCTTCTCACAGAAGGATTTATTTCAAACACTCGACTGACGTTATGAGGTGAGATTGTAGTAAAAATTTTATTAAATGTGGTATTTTCACATGCTTTCAGACGGAGCAGCATTTACTTCACAGAGCCGTAGTTCACCGAGAAGCTATGCAAACACCTGTCATTATCACAAACGATTTCTTCGATTTCATAATCGCGCAATAAAATCGATTTTTTTTGCATAACTTGTCAGTGAACTACGGCTCTGTGTAGTAAATGCTGCTCCATCTGAAAGCACGTGATGATGATTTCCTGCTGATTACAGAACCGGCTTTACTAACAAAATGCGCATGACAATCACATTCGATTAATCGTGCAGCCCTAGTAAGTACGTGTACTTAATATTACTCAGCACTTGAATGTATGATTACACTGTAACAAGGACACCTTAAAATAAAGTGTAACCACTTTTTAAAACTTGCAAACAAGAAAAGTTAGTTGATGGAGAGAAAAGCTGCAATTATTGATTATGAACATGCATCAGCTCATAATAGTACGTTAATGATGTATATTACTGCACTGTAAAATAATAAATAATTAAATAAACAGCTACACATTTTCGAGTTTATAACACCTTTTGAGTCTCAAATGCCATCTTGAAACTATATAAAACCCATGGTAGATGAACAGAATACATTTTCCGAACTAGTCAAACACAAAGGGCTTTCATATTATAAAGACTGCCGAAATGTTAACGGTTTGTGGGTTCCCTGTATGCAATGCAACAAACATTTAATATTGTTTTGCGGTTTGCTAACTTTATTTACACGTTTGTTGTTGTGTCTGTCGTTTGTTTGTTGTTGTTGTCACTGTTCTTAAAGCATTTAAGCATATGTACAAATTTAAAACTACATCCTGGATATCTTAGATTTTATTTTGTTACTAACAAATTTTAATGAAGAAGAAAACCGTTATTGTCTTGATTAAATTATTGGCTGAATGAGGCATTTTGCATTTAGTGAACGAATAATGCATCATGTTGCCTTGGATTTTAAAGTTATTTTAAGGTACTAAAATTTACTTTTATGGATAGATACAAAAGTATAAAGTTGTCTCCAACAAGCCTTTGTACCGCTAAAAGTAAAAACAAAAATTCTGCAAACTTTCTTACATTTCTAATTTGATCTGTCAATAACCCATAACACGAGTGGCTCCTTGCGGTACCGACACAAAAACACACACAATCACTTTCTGGAAATGTGTAGTGCACTACTCCGGTTACTGTACCCTTAAGGTGAAGGGATATTGTTGTAGCACGAAAGGAGGATAAATATAAATCAAAGATAAATAACTAAAACAAGCAGTACTCACTCTGGGCACAGTTATAGTGGTCCACCTTTTTAAAGCCTGTAGGACAAGTACAGATGTAGGTCTTATTGCTTGGAAGACACAGGTGACTGCAGCCTCCATTATTGCTCCCACAGCGATTTCTCCCACCTAAACATAACGAGAGAAAAAAAAATTGAGAAAGCTTTTTAAAAATGTTACTATTTACTCAACCCAAGCTCACTGGAAAAATGAGCATGCGACGACATTGCTACAAAATTATATTACAGTGTTTCTTGCATATATCGCAACACTTGCGAAATTCAAAGTGAAATGTCCAGTGGGTGTTACATTTTATCTAAAACAGATGAATGTGGATCTGGCAACATTTTATTACGTTAGTTGTTGTACATATCATGGCAGTTCGGAAATGAAGTCTTTGAGCTCTTATATCGTGATTTGTGTTTTACAGGACTCGTACCCAAATGCACCACATCTCAAGTGCAATGTTGTACCGGGTGTGCTATCGAGCAAGTTTACTTCATCAGAAAAGCCAAATATGGAGCTGGATATGTGGTGCAAACATCAAAATGTATTAGTTTACAAATCATGCACTATGATAAAAGTGTTTTGAGGTCATAACATAGTATTGTGCAAGGAACTGCATGAAAATAAGCCTTTATTAATCGATAATCGGCCCCTGTAATCATAATTTGTGTGAAAACTGTTGGTGTTTTACTGCCACTAGTGTTCATTTCAGATGGAAACTGCAGTGAGTTGTATGTACAGGTGGTATGTATTTTTCAGCAATCTCCAATGAGCCTGGGTTGCATTTAGCTTAATTTGATTTGCGTTTGAAAACATTATATTCTATACTACAGATAATAGGGATATTATGGTTAGTTGACCTGCAGGTTGTCTCTGTGGGTGCAGAGTGTGGATGTCCATGGGAAAATGCAGCTTGTTTCGGATGACCTCTTGGTTCTTGCCAGTAAACTTGTTTGCACTGTTGATACTCTTGGTGTGCCAGTCGGTCCAGTACAGACTGTCTTCAAACACGGTGATGGCAAAAGGATGTGGAAGACCTGGCAGAGGGAAAGGTTCACAGCTATATTTAGCATCTGTACTCTAAAATGCACATTTTTATGCACAAGGGAGGAAAAAAAAGCTTGGCAAAAGGCGGGATTGAACCCGGGTCGATCGTGTCAAAAAGTCGGTGACGCGCTTATCCATCTGCGCCACTGGAGCTGATGTTTCACAGCCACTTTTTACTAAATGTAAATATACACCCCGCATTTTTTATTCCATAGTAAGGGCAATTAATACAATACATTTAAACTGAGCTACTTTAATAACATCTCCGAACTTTCTACCAGGACTCTGCTGTTCTTCGGCTGGTTCTTCCCCAGATGTCTCGTTCAGTCAGCGGTGAGCAATCCCAAACCAATGGCGCGGTCTCAAACTATACCTACCTTTTCCGGTTTGTCTGATTTGTCGTTGTGTTTTCTGACTTGTTAATTTGTTTTTTAGACTTGCATTTGCGTTTGTAATTTGTTCTTTTGTTTTCAGAATTGTGATTTGTTCTGCACTTCTCGGCCACCGTAGTAATTTTATACGATCTAATACTCATTCATATCAGTGTCCTACCCTAAGCAGTTTAGAAGAAATAGTAGTTAAAAATCCCAGTGCTAAACGTAAAATTTCTATGCTGCATAGCATTATTTTTCATATTTGTTAATGCTCCCAAAAGAACCTACAAATCATAAAAGATTGGCTTGGATTGATGATCTACAGATGGATGTTACAGAAAATGAATGGAAAGAAAATTGTGTTCAAGCGCAAACATTATCAATCTATACTTGTTTTAAACTAATCCAATGCAATTGGATAATGACAACATACTGTATATAACACTGGAAAAGTTGAATAAATGTAATCAAAATATTTTGGATATCTGAGGGAAATGTTCGACTTTCAAGGGAACAATATTTCATTGTATATGGCAATGTGAGCACTTACAGTCCTTCTGGAAAGATTCATTTGGTGTAATTTCTAAAACTATTGGTAAAGAAATCCCTGTTTGCCCTAAAATTTGTATTCTTCGTCTTCTTCCATCTGCCTTATCTTTGAAAGCATATTAACAGAAGTTTGTAAACCTGTGTCTATTGCATGCGAAACGCCTGATTGCCTTTCACTGGAAAAGTATTCATGGTCCATCTCTGTCACTCTGGATTAAAGAATTGTCTTCTTGGATAGCAATGGAAAGACTTACTGGGACTTTTTCCTACGTTTTTTTTTTTTTAGATCAGAATGGACTGACTCTGGCATGATCACATTATTTGGTTTTACTCAAAAGTGTTTAATGACAGCTGACTGCCTGTTAATATGTGAACTGTGTTTATTATTATTTATTTTAACATATCGTTTGTTTTCATTGGTAGTTACATGTGATGAACTTTTTTTTCTTAATATATTTTTACAGTTGCCCCTCTTTTGTGTGTGTGTGTGTGTGTGTGTGTGTGTGTGTTGTATATGGCAATGTGAGCACTTACAGTCCTTCTGGAAAGATTCATTTGGTGTAATTTCTAAAACTATTGGTAAAGAAATCCCTGTTTGCCCTAAAATTTGTATTCTTCGTCTTCTTCCATCTGCCTTATCTTTGAAAGCATATTAACAGAAGTTTGTAAACCTGTGTCTATTGCATGCGAAACACCTGATTGCCTTTCACTGGAAAAGTATTCATGGTCCATCTCTGTCACTCTGGATTAAAGAATTGTCTTCTTGGATAGCAATGGAAAGACTTACTGGGACTTTTTCCTACGTTTTTTTTTTTTTAGATCAGAATGGACTGACTCTGGCATGATCACATTATTTGGTTTTACTCAAAAGTGTTTAATGACAGCTGACTGCCTGTTAATATGTGAACTGTGTTTATTATTATTTATTTTAACATATCGTTTGTTTTCATTGGTAGTTACATGTGATGAACTTTTTTTTCTTAATATATTTTTACAGTTGCCCCTCTTTTGTGTGTGTGTGTGTGTGTGTGTGTGTGTGTGTGGGGTGTAAATGTTTCTTATGGCTCTTATGTTGGAGGTCGGGTGTTCTTTGGTTGGTGTTTGGTTAATATTACAGTATACATGTACTTCCTTTATCTTATTATTTTTCTGAAAACAATAAAAAAAAGTGCAGAAAAAATTCCGGTTCTTTTAGGAACTGATCACTGAAAGGTTCTAAAGTTTCCAAAATAGTTCTTCACTCTTAAAAACAAAAGGTTCTTTATTGGCATCGATGGTTCCACGAACAGCCTTTAACATCCATGGAATCTTTCCATTCCACAAAAGGTTCTTTAAAGTGGATTAAGTTTCTTTAGATTTTGAACTAATAAAAAAAAAGGTTATTTAAAGAACTTTTCACTGAAAAATGGCATTTTTGTGAAAACCCTCTTTATTGTTAAAGTCTCCCTGTAGTCAAATATTTTATCCCTTAACACTTATCTTTGGTCATCAAAATTACATATTTAAATGTTTTTTCTTGTGAAAATAATTTTCGCATTCCTTAAAACAGCTTGAATGCAACTCTACACCCTTGCCTCATTTACTATACGCTGATCTATGAATATGCAAATTAGTCCCACCTCCACTCAGTCGCACCAGCTAGCGCCTCCTGATCCACTGAACTGTAGTAAACGCAAAACAATGGCATACACGGATAATGACTGATAAAACTATCTTTTTACTAGCGGACAACTACAGTGAATACTGTAACATTCGTTAAAGGTACTTACTTGACGATGTTGTGTCCTAAAATGCCTTGAAGACTCGAATGCAGCCGTTTGTGATTCTTTTTTGCTTTAATTTATTTTTGGTTTTGTGCTGGTATTGGTATATTTTGCATGCTAGTGATAGGAATCGATCCCTTGACGTGATTGGTTATTGGTTTGTCACGTAGCAAACCGAGGGCTGTTTCAAACCGTATTTCTGGGTCAGCCTTTGGGAAACTACAGTTTTAAGGAGAAAATACTCAGCAATGGTGTTGATTAATAGATTGGCACATGGTTTGTCTAAAGGCATATTAAAAACACCATATAGACAAATAAACAACATACAAAACGTGATTTTCACTACAGGGGGACTTTAAGAGTGCATGGAACCTTTCCATTCCACAAAACATTCTTTATAGTGAAAGTTTTTTTTTTAGATTCTTTAAATGTTCTTCCCATTACCAAAAATGGTTCTTTAAAGAACTGATCACTGAAAGGTTCTAAAATGGTTCTTCTACAGCATCACTGTGAAAAACCCCTTTGGAACCTTCATTTTAAAAGAATATAGCTCCTGTTTTATTCCGGCTTTTTACTTTAAACCTGGCGTTCTGCCAGACTATGGGCATATAACGCACCCTGCCTGTAGCTCCCGCCTTTTCTGCACCTTTCACCCTTCTCCAGGTGTACACACATGGCGTGGGGTTGTTTTGTGATCTTATCTTTGTGGAGAAGCAAGGCTAGGTTGGCGTTAGAAGGCTTGTTTGCTTTTTTCGTCTCTTTTTTTATCTTTTGTTCCCAGCTCCGCTGCCATCTGCCTTCCCCCTCCGTGCTGGTACCTCTCTTGTCATCTCAATCATCTTTCACTTTTGATCTTGTTTTTCCAGTCAACATATCTTCTCTCTGTGTGTGCGCACCCTGATTTTTTTATAATGCTGGTGCCTCCCTCTCTGGTAAATCTGTCATTGACCACTGTAAGCAAATCTGCGTTGGATTTTTTTTAGAGCTTGGTTTTCAGATCTAAATATTCCCCCACCTTTCCCAGGTGCACAGGTATTTTGTTCCTGCAGACCCCGAGGCTTAGGCCTCCTTTCTAGCGTGCCATTTAGAGAGACTCCATCACGCATCAGACAGACAACTGAATTTATTCAACAGACACTCCTTAACCCCAAATGAACAGAAGACTAAAATACTACAGAATACTAGAGAAAGAAAGCAGAGCAACCTAATGTTTGCAGCTGTAGAAAAACTGAACTGATAATAGAATGTTACGTTTAAAAATAATTTGTGTTGAATTTAGATGTCGTAAAGCCTGTTCCATCTTATCACTAGGATATGTGCCAGTTTACCTGCACTTTAAAATTGTGATCTTAATCAGATTTTCTGATTTTGTGAAATCAAACTAACAGATCTAGTTCCTGTTCCTCTGATCATGATCACATGATGCTTCAGAAACCTTGTTTCAATGTGCTGATTTGCTGCTCAAGAAACATTTCTGATTATTATCATTATTATCTGATTACTATTATCATTAGTTGTGCTGCTTCATATTTCTGTGGAAACCGTGATACACTACCATTCAAAAGTTTGGGGTAAAATAAAAGAAAAAAGAAAGAAATTAACACTTTTATTCAGCAACATCACACTAAATTGATCAAAAGTTACAGTAAAGACATTTATAAAGTAAAAAAAATATTTCCGTTTCAAATCAATGCTGTTCTTTTGTACCTTCTGTTCATCAAAGAAACCTAAAAAAAAATGTATCACGGTTTTCACAAAAATATTAGGCAACACTGCTAATAATATACAAGTAATAGAACAATAGAAAGTGTTGAGGAAAGTTACTTTTAAAAGTAATGCATTACGATATTGTGTTACTCCTTGAAAAAGTAACTAATTGCATTCGTTACTTTTTATGGAAAGCAATGCATTGTTACTCTTGTGTTATTTTTTGTCACCTGGGCTGGGCTTGCTTATTTGATTTTAAGTTATTTTTTTGGCAACTGTAAAGGCCCTTTCACACCAAAAGTGAAATGAATAGACCTCAGGCTGAAGGAAGTGCCTCTGCACCTCCCTCCCAATCTCTCTCAACACAGGGTCAGGAGCGCTGTCAGCGAATAAATGGGGAAACAATGCAATGCATTACTTATTTGAAAAAAGTAACTCAGATATTTCATTGTAAATTTAAAAGTAATGCATTATATTACTAGTTACTAGAAAAAAGTAAACTGATTACGTAACTTGCATTACTTGCAATGCATTACCCCCAACACTGATAAGAACCATTATCAATAACCAAGCACCAATAATAACTCATGATACTTGTGCAGCAACTCAGCATATTAGAATGATTTCTGAAGGGTCATGTGCAAGGATTGAAATGAACTTTTTCACTTACCAGCCAATTTGGCTACTAAACTTTTAAGTTACTGGCGATTCAGTAATAAAAACATCAGAAATAAACCAGATTATCAAAGTCAAAGCTTAGATTTAAATACAGTATATTTATTATTACATCTGATTTTGAATCACTGAATTGCTTTCAGCTTCCTGGCAGTCAAGCACTGCCATTAAAATAAAATAAAATAGAAATAAAAACAAAATTCTCTGTGAATTCTCTTATAATTTTAACAGCACTTATTTTGTCGTAAACAAATATAGCGCACTCCAGACTGAATGCATCACATGAATAAATTACATTTTAAAATATATTCACATAGAAAAGACTTTTTAAAATATAATATGTATTTTTGATCAAATAGATGCAGCTTTTGTGAGCATAAGAGACTTATTTAAGGTGAAAATTTATTTTTTCATAAAATTATATATATATTTTTTTTTATATTACTATATATTATATATTGACTTTTTTTACCTTGGCTGATGACAGCCTTTCTGTTCTTCCCATCCAGGTCAGCTCTTTCAATGACGTGGTGTTTGGCGTCCACCCAGTACATACGGTGACTGGCGTAGTCAATGGTAAGTCCATTTGGCCAGAAGAGGTGTGTATCTGCAATTATTTTGCGATTAGAGCCGTCCATGTTGGCATATTCAATGCATGGCATATTTCCCCAGTCAGTCCAGTAAATCTTCCTAAAGAAAGAGCATAAGTAATGTGAGAAACATAGTTGTATAATAATATGCAGTCAGGATGCAACAAAGCAAACAATTAATGTCCTTTTTGATAATAAAAAGCTTTTGAAGAACAACATCATGCATTTTATCATGCATCAGTAAAATGGTGTAACATTTAGCCATTTCTCCAAGGCTTATTAATTCTCACAAACAGCAAGATCTGCATGCATCTGTGTGTGAGAATCAGTAGATACACAGCGGGTAGAAAACACAGGGCTAAATCTTGTTGGTGAGGGAATTCAAGCCATATTTCATAAACCCCTTTGTCCTCTATGACAAAGACCCATGATGAGTGTCGACTGCAGCTCAAGCCTTGTGACAATTCCTGAATGCAACTTCTGCACAACCTTTGTGATCAGAAGCAAACTGAGTTACAAAGTTTAGCCAGAAGTCACCAGAATGGTTTCATGCACTGCTTCCCATTGCTTACATTCAGGGGTGTGAAGTAACGAATTACAAATACTCACGTTACAGTAATTAAGTAGTTTTTATCAGTAATTGTACTTTTTAAAGTAGTTTAAAAATTGTGTACTTTTACTTTTACTTGAGTACATTTTAAGGGATGTATCGGTACTTTTACTCCGCTATTTTCCTCCGTTTGTGGTCGTTACATGCTTATTTAAATTACATTTTTATCCATCAACGTGATTGGATAGAGAGTAATAGGTCTCGTGACTTTCGTCAAATCAAATTGTGCATAGAAAACTTTAACCGCCGACTGTTTATCATGGCTGCTGGAAGCGCATTCTTCAAGCATCAATTCTGTCGCATCTTCCTCTAACTTAATATGTTAAGGTAAATTTAGGATTTCTGCATACTAAATGATTTGAATATATGCTTGCCTATCTACACGAGCACCTTATTGATGACCCGTGGCGTTAATATACTGCATCTGTGCCGCGTGATGTAATAAAACTGCAGCTCGTTAATAAATGTTTTTTAAAAAAAATCCATTTGATACAATCCGCCTTCATTTAGCAAGTGCACTCGCGCATGAACACTTTTCAAGTTCAACACTTTTTGTTCCGTTCAGTTGTGGATGCTGCCGATTCACCGAGACCGCCGCGGCTCAGCAAAGAGACATCCATGTGTGTGTGTGTGTGTGTGTGTGTGTGTGTGTGTTTTCCTTTGAAAAAGTTTCCCCAGCTTTCATCTTTTCTTCAACTGAATACTGTTTCCGTGCTGTTTTGATGTATTTTAAAGAGTCAAAATTAAAACTGCTGGATGAAAGATATTCTTCATTCTTTATGACAAACAAGATAATGTGAATTACAGAATGTACAACGTTTGTAAAATGTATCAAATTGTACAGCGTTTATTATGAGGGGGTAGAATCCACAGCTCAGTACTCAGTACTCAATACTCATGAGTACTTTTAAATAGGCTACTATTTTACTCTTACTCAAGTAGTTTTTTGGACAAGTACTTTTACTCTACTCAAACTACATTTTTTGGAAGGTAATGGTACTTTTACTTGAGTATATTTTTTCAGTACTCTTTCCAGCACTGCTTACATTACAGAACAACAACGACAAATGGTCGACAGAGGGGATTTTCCCCTATGCAAAAGAACAAAAAGATTGCAGTGACAATTTTCAGTGCATAAATTAATAAATGTACAGAATTTGCACGCACATAAAATAAAAGGTCCCAAAATGAGGAAAGAGTCAGATTTTTTTTAAAAAAGAGGTACACTTTAGAGTACTTAAAACCCCCCCGCTTTTGGACACTTAACTGCATGTTAACTGCAATTAAATGAAAATGTATTATAGTTTTAATTTATACTAAATGCTGACCCACTTAAGTAGGACTTAAGTAGATCTTTATATGCAATTTCATGATTACTTCTACTATCTTTGAAAAATGGTTAAAGTACTGCTAAATGTACTGACAAGCATTTATGATAAAATGACATGTATTTAAATATGTTTGTAATTAGACATTTGTAATTATCAAGTTGCACTTTAGTACATTTAAAATAATGTAAATGTAATATCGTGTATTATAATCAAGTACTTAACATGTGCTTTAGAATGTTAGTCACACATCAAAATAAGTGTAAAAGATTATTAAGACAATGATTTAAAATGTACTTTAAATTAAAACCATTAATTTGACATTATTGCCAGGTGCACTTCATAAAAGTGTACTTAAGTGAGTTCAGAAACAGTCAAGAAAGTGTCTCTTTAAGCCACTTAAGTGTTCTTTTATTAACATTAAATTATCTTCAAGCACAGTTTATAAAATATACTTTTATTATTTGAAGTACACTACAAGTGCACATTCAATACAATTAAGTGCACTTCTTTTTCACAAGGGGTACTATGAACATACTGTAACTCTTAGAAAGCAAGACTTCCTACCCAGTCCAAAAACTGCATTGCGTATTTATTTTGCAATGCTTGTGCTGAATACACTTGTGAAAAAACAGCATTATTTGTAAATTATAATATAAGTTAAGTAGAACACAAGAGTCCGAATACTTACCCTTCCATGGGGTTCAGAGCGATGGCACGGGGTTTCTCCATCCTCTGCCATAAAAGCACTTTACGTTGTGTGCCGTCCAGATTTGCCACTTCAATGCGAGAAGTTCCCGAGTCAGTCCAGTAGAGCTTATTATGAATCCAATCTACGGCCAGACCACCTAAGAAAGTAGGAAAAAAACTACTATTGCTGCTTGAAAAACGAAATATCATTGCTGCTACAAGTGTTATATATTATTTATTCTTTGTTTCGTTGCCGAAGCATGAAAATAACATTTTACATAATTTATTTATCATTCATTGAAAAATCACTCTGTAGTATATGTGTTTTAGACAGAGATTAAAAAAAAAATGTATATATATATATATATATATATATATATATATATATATATATATATATATATATATATATATATATATATACATTTTTTTTT